TAATCGGAGGTTAAGATCGTGTAGTCGACGTAACACAGCATGCAGTCGTGAATCATGTTCTTCTGGAGTCCTACCGAATACACAGATGTCGTCCATGTATACTATTTGACCAGGTAAATTGGCAAATGAGTGAACCATAAACTTTTGCCAAGCTGCTGGAGCTGAACTCAAGCCCATTGGCAAGACTTTGTACTGAAAGAGTCCGTGCATAGTGAGAAATGCAGTCAGCGGTCTTGACTCCTTAATTAGAGGCATGTGAAAGAAAGCCTTCCTAAGGTCCAATTTTGAAAAATATCAGGCGCCAGCTAGTTTAACTATTAGTTCATCAGCGGTTGGAAGCACAAACTTTTCTACCACGATTTGCCGATTTAGGGCCTGAGGTCATTGCATATTCTTACTGTACCGTCCTTTTTGAGGACTGTAACCATAGGGTGGACCCATTCAGAACAGTTAATGGGTTCAATGAGATCATCTGCAATCATCTGCCGTAATGCTGACGAAACAGCCTCTCTTCTGGCCAAAGGAATTGGACGCGGATGAGCAATAGCTACCGGTTTAGCATCCTGCTTCAGACATATGCGGTGAACGGAGGAGGGAGCGCGCCCTATTGTTTGTTCGAATAATTTCGGGTACTATATCTGTAGGTCTGATAGGTTAATTGCCATGATACGCATATGAGTTAGGGACGGCGTGACTCCCAGTGCAACCATAGCGTTGCGTCCGAGTAAGGGACGGTTATTTCCGAGGGAAACATACAGTAACTGATGATTTTACAGCCCCAAGTTGCAACACAACCACCACAAATCCTCGTATTTCTACCGGGGCCTTTGTATAACTATCAAATCGATAGGCTGAAGGATGTATAGGCATGTCATGTAGGTGAATGTCATAAAAACTACTCGGTACTATAGTGATAGTGTAGAGGGGCCGCTTCCAAGATTGGCTCTGGGGAGCTCTTCAGAACTAGCTGAGAGCGGATCGCGAAAGACGGCTAGCGACGAGCCTGGGCCCGGAACTACGGAGCGGGAATATGTGGACAGTGCAATAAATCAGACAAATACGCCGCTAGCGCAGCCCACAGGACCGAGGCCGAGCCGATTGACACAGCCCAGAACAAGCAAGTCGAGAGCTCTCGAACGACTCCTGGCCGATCCAAATCGGGTGCAGAGAAGCGGAGATCGAGGCGAAAACGGGAAGGCGGATCTTCCAAGTCAGAGCTCCCGAGGCGAAAGGACTGGCTCGCCTCTAACATCCGTACCTGTGTTGCGTGGTGGGACGGAAATCTAGTCGATATTCGAGGGCGCGCGCGAGACCCTCATGTGCCCATTTTCGGTGTGCAATAAACGTCTACCCCCTGTCTTGTCGTTCTCGCTACAATAGGAGAGGCTGAATCAAGTTCCATGTCAACATGTGTTATTCTATCGTGTGCAAAGACTGTAACAGTACGAATGTCAGGCATAGGTAGTTTAGGCTCTGGACAATTGGAACGATAGTTAGACACAGTACTTGTGTTATCAATAGAAAATACATTTTCAGAGGACTGTAACTGTTGATTAGAAACGGAATCTGTAGGATTCAACTGAGAAATCCGTGCTGAACGACAACAACGAGCAAAATGTCCACGCTTACCGCACTTTTTACAATCCATTTCTAAGGCAGGGCACTTTGTAAAATTGGCTTTATGCTGTAGGCTGCCGCAGCGGAAGCATTTCTGTGGGGATTGGAATTCGGTTGGCGAGCGATGGATTTTGGCAACCTCCTGTATGTCTGCGTGGGTGGCGAAACATCGCAACTGTTCGGCCGTACATGTTTTGAGGCGAGCTAATTCCACAGCCTTATCCCAAGTTAATTTGGAAGCGTCTTCGGAAAGTAGGCATTCCCGAATTCGGTTGTTGGTGATACCACTAATCAACTGCTGCACTAGCATTACGCCCTCGATTCTATTTTTCGGTATGGTTGGATACTCGCACGGTCGTACACCGCGAATGAGGCGATCAACGAAACCGTCTAGAGTTTCCGATGGTTCCTGTGTAAGTCGGCCGAATTTGAAGCGAGCCATGAAGAGATTTGTACGCTGCCCCAATGACTTGTCCAGCACCTCCAGCGCTTTCGTCAAGGTATCTTGTGACTGCAGCTCCAAAGCATTAAAGTGACGTTGTCCCTCATCACCGAGTAGGTGTCTGAGTAGCTTCAGTTTCTGGCCTTCAGTGTAGTTAGCAGCCGCAGGTAGTAGGTCAAGATAGTTTGTAAACGAGGTTTTCCACTGGGCCCATGCACTTTCGGTAGGGCGTAAGGTCGGATCAGACCAGTAAACTGTAGGAGGATGTAATTCCATGGCGTAGGTTCGTAAGGCGCGACACCAGTGTTGTATGCGAAAAGGTCACTCTCGGAAACGGACTGCTGTAATCTGAGAATGTCTAACTGGGTGAGTACATTAAGGTTTCGCAAGGAGAAGGATGAACCAATAAGGAAGCAGAGAATTAGGCGCTTTGTGTGTGTGTGTGTGTTGTTGTCTGTCTGGGTTGTGTGCACGTGTCTGTCTAGACTAGCCGTCAACACAGCAGACAGAATACACAACAGACGCTTTCCAAAATATTTATTCTTAAATTGCTACCCCCAGGTTGGCTTTCACTAAGTGCTTCTGCAGACAACAGATCATGGAAAAGAGAAAAAATTGCGCAAAAGTGAAAAATACATATTATTCTATAATAGCTAGAGGTGGAAAACATCTCAGCTATCGTGCCGCAATACATAGAAAGAAAAAAGCAGCAACAGGTGCACGCCAGCTGAGCTACCAGTAACAGATGGGCATCGTTCCGGAGAGCTAACAGCCGACTACTATGGAGCAAAAAGTTTATCATGCAAAATTTATATTATGCTAAGAAATGAGATCGCGGTTGGATGGGAGATCAAGAGGGATGGAGAGGGACAAAGAAACAACACAAACGCCATTGAGGTCGGCTCCTACTCATATCAACAAGTGTATCCAACCCAACGTGTTCATCCTCTTCCGGACCCCAACCAAGGAGCCGAGACGCTCCAACCGAGCCCAACGTCGAAGTGAGAGACTTCATTGATCTTGACCAAGTCCTCGGTGGCCATCATTCCTCTTCTTCCAACCACAACCACGGCGTGTGGAAGTCGGTGGGCTGATGCGCAACACGTGGCCTAGCAATCGGAGCATGCTGCGTGAATCAATGGTGATGAGCGGTTCATTTCCTCTTGCTGTGCCATAAACATGGTGTCGAACACGCTCATTGCTCAGACGGTGTTCCCAACAGATGTGAGCCAAACTACGAAGCCACCGGTGTTCGAACGCAACTAGCCTCCATATATCTGCTGATCTAATTGGTCAAGATTTTACAGCCGTGGAGGAGAGATGAACGGACGGCCGCAGTGCACACTCTACGCTTCAGGAAGATAATGATGTCGCACCTGGCGCCACAGGTGGCGAAGGTTAGCAAAAAGGCCTCGAGCTTTTACTATACGGTTCGTGATCTCGTGTTCTATCCCAAGGGCTCTGATACAGCTTCCTGAGTAGTTAAATCATTGGCGACTTTCAACTGATCCCAACCAAGGAGGCGGGTCATGCCAAACTTGGAGGAAAACTTTGCACTTCGAGGGTGCAAAGCACAGCCTTTGGTTCAAAAACCTGTGCGCGAGGCAGCGGGCTACAATGAGTCCGTTTTAAAGAATAAGTAGCCACCCTCACTCCAACCCCCAATCAGAAGACTGTGTTCGCCTTGGCCTCTAAAGATTGATCATTCTGGTATGAGTGACTCTGAAGGTGCAAAAAGCACCACCCAGCATAATTCAATGGATCTCTGCAGCACGGGAACCGTCGCACCACGTTAAGGCCCAGCGTCATTTCGATGGAGTGAGAAATACACATTGCATATGATTCCACGGTTTACATACGGTGGATCTAAAGTACCCCAGACATTTGCTGCCATTCTTGGAGGGTTATACATCGTACAATCAGTCTCGCGGGAGCTAGAATTTACCTTAGGAAGTATAGTAGAATCTGTGGAGACAGGGTCATTTGACCTCATAAACAAATAATACACTATTCAACTTCACGAAAAGCCTGAATCCCGAAGAATGTGAATGAAGATCACATTGTAAAAGTTTTGCTGTGGCGACGTTTCGCTCTTGACGCAACAGCTTCCTGGCCCGAAGAAGTTACTACGTCAGGAGCGAAACGTTGTCATAATAAAGATTGCACAAACCGATGTGCGTTCAAATTCTTTGAAGTTATAGATATGAGATGCAGTTCGTAATAACTAGAAAGCTGGTGGTTGGGTTGAGGTTCAGTTAGTTACTGATAGATTCTTGAGCCTTCCGGATCACGAAACGCAAAAGTTGGATAGCAATGTGGTGCACTGTTTGTGTTTAAACAAAGAATTCTCTTCGTTTCAGATGGATTAAAAATACCACCTAAAACCATTCGCTGGAATTTGCGGAAACCGCTGTTGTGCAAGTTTCCACGTTCACTGATACAGAAGATAGTTAGTTGCTCTTTGATGAGACCAGAGTGCAAAAATGGCGTGTACGTCCCTAACAAACAAAGGTGTCCAATCACGTTCACCTTTTGGTTTGTCTGCTTGTGTTCCTTAAGCAATTCTTATTTTCGTGATATGCGAATCAACGCAATCACGTTCATCGTACGTTGCACCCGACTTATTAAAACCCAAATGGATTGCAGTGATTCATACATGAAACAGGTAGTTCATATGGTCACGAGGTGAGGCAGGTCGAGGTTGAAAATTGGAAGCAACAAAGAGACGGGTACAAAGGATGTGTTCGGAAGCCTGAATAAAAAGAGTACATTCTCAGGCACTGCAAATCGTATGGAGTAGATTTATATTGTGCTTAAAGTCAGCAATGACGTTGTGATTGAATGAAGATGTGGAACAGTTTCATGACATCTGGTTGTGTAACATTATTTTTCATTAACCGACAACTTGTTGACATTAAATGACATATTTTTCCTTGACCAGGCTGATCGAGGAACCATCCTTGAGGAGAAAGGAAAATTGGACCGGCAACCTTTCACCTGGATAGGTGACACACCAATGATACTGCCTCGGTGCGTGTGCAATGCCGGCTGGACGGGGAGTCGGTGCGAAGAACCGTTGGTGTTGAACGGATGGACGCCGTGGTCCCCATGGACAGGTTGCGAACCGGCTTGTCAGAGTTCGGTTAGACAAAAGCCATATACTGCAGCCAGTGAGTTGGTTCCGATTAATGAGAACACGCCAAGATGGGGAATACGCCAGCGGACGAGATTCCGAGATTGCATTGGACAGATGTCCGATTGTCGTCAGGAGATGCTCGAACATACGGCTGAAATGTCACTGTCTATTGAAGACGGGGAATCCTTTCGACAGTATGAACGGCGTGCCTGCAGACCTCGGCCATGCGACAGGCACCTTTATCTTACCATGGGCAAACGAGCGGTTGTCCGGTCGCGAATACAGAAGCAAGTAGTAAGTCAGATGGATGTGTAATATTGTCCGCCCGAAAACACTGTGCTCCACGGAGCGTTTCGATCTCATCAGGTAGAGAGAGCAGCTATTAGAACCCGCGTCCATTGGGAACTTAGCCGAGACTACTAGTCCTAAACCTCCGAGACATGATAACAACGCGTCACAGCAGTCAGTGATTGTTTGGAGCGTCATTCAGATGCACTGGCTGTGTGAATAGATTTCGACTCCAACCATAATGTGGACCGTGATTCGCATTGAAATGGATCTTGATCAATTGGATCACTGGGACGGTGATTGATCAGGCAAACGTTCCCAATGACTGGATTGACCAATATTCGATTCAATGCGAATAACAGTCCACATTGGGATGCGCTTCGTAATCCATCTATACAACGAAGGCTTCGAACGACCCTAAAGTTTAGAAAGATAAACAAAACACGAAGCCTTAAGCAAACAATTGTTTTCGATTAATCCTTCTTCAGGCTCATACAGTAATTTACATTAGGTTAACATCTGTTGCAATCGTCAGTGTAACAAAGAAACAACTGATCAGAAAATTTAACTTGTGCTCATGATGGTAGTTATCGGATCACATGACTGAAGTCAGGTGAATTTGCGGAGTACCATTATTTCCTTCGCGGCTAGTGGTCGGCCACGGAAGTTGTGGTGTTTGCATCAGCTTCTTCTGGGCACACAAGTCTGGATTTGTTAGGCGTATGCATACTGCCTCAGCAGTAGCAAGTAGGCTTGCTCTTACACGATGGTTTTGCCTTGGTGGTTCGTTTGTCTATCTGGTGGCCTGTGCTAATTAGATGGTTTGTAATCGCACTGCAGCGTGTCCTATTCTCGCGACTGTAGAGCCAACCTGGGAGGTGTTCCTAAATTCTCTTACCTAAATGCCTGGTCGTCCGTCCAACGTATTTGGCCCCGCACGCGCAGGTGAACATGTAGATTAACATCGATTGGAGATGATCAGGCACTCGGTCTTTGAATCTCGGAACTAATAAAGGTCTGCTCGTGAAAATCACATTCAGCTGAGCCGAATTAAAGATCTTTTTGCAGCTTTGCTGTAGTCGACGCGTGCATGTCTCAGCCGCACTATTTCCTTTGAATGGAAGTGTCAAGTAAAGCTGTTTCTTTTCAACGGTTTGTTTTGATACATTTGGTATACATCGCCTCATATGGGTCTCGATATATCGCGCTGGATATCCATTTTCGAGAAGCGTTTCTTTGATTCGTACGAGTTCGGCTTTTATGGTGTCTTCGCTGCAGATTTTATATGCCCGATCGGTTAGCGTTCGTACCAGCGTTCATTTTTTGGCTGAGTGGGGCGAAACTATGAAAGTTCATGTATTGTCCAGTTCATATGGTTTCCTGTATACAGGAGACCATATTGGACGGACGACCAGGCATTTAGGTAAGAGAATTAGGGAACACTTCCCAGGTTGGTTCTACAATCACGAGAATAGGACACGCTGCAGTGCGATTACAAACCATCTAATTAGCACAGGCCACCAGATAGACAAACGAACATCCTTTCAAATTCTCTACAAAATATCACCAAGGCAAAACCATCGTGTAAGAGCAAGCCTACTTTCCACCGCTGAGACAGTATGCATACGCCCAACAAATCCGGACTTGTGTGCCCAGAAGAAGCTGATGCAAACACCACAACTTCCGTGGCCGACCACTAGCCGCGAAGGAAATAATGGTACTCCGCAAATTCACCAGACTTCAGTCATGTGATCCGATAACTACCATCATGAGCACAAGTTAAATTTTCTGATCAGTTGTTTCTTTGTTACACTGACGATTGCAACAGACGTTACGCTAATGTATATTACTGTATGAGCCTGAAGAAGAATTAATCGAAAACAATTGTTCGCTTAAAGCTTCGTGTTTTGTTTATCTTTCTGAACTTGACGTAACAAATGGACATTCTGCTTGAGTTGACCATACAAGTAATGAAGATTTTTCAATGTGCAATTACCTAAGGAGATTAGCACCAAGTTGCAGACCAACAGATTTTATTTGACTTCCCACTGAGAGGCGACAAGCATCCTTCGGATCCAACAAATGTCCTCACGGTTTTTTGAGGTCAAAAGTGAATCATACACCCAAATAATCAACATTCCATAGTTTCATTAAAGTATTCGTAATCAACCCGAAGAACACAGATCAGCACAAGCTTAAAGAAACTCTAATCAAAGAACAAAGTCAGGTATCATATCGCAAAACTGTAGTTCGAAATTCCTGCCAACGACTCGTTTGGTCGGAGTTCGCCTCGAGCTGTGGGAAAAGAGGTTTCCAATCCCAATATCCACATTCCGATAAGTCCTTCGTATCTCCAAGTCTTCTAAGCAGAACTAATTCAATTTACTTCATCTACAACGAGATGAAGAATTCCAGTAGACTCTAGTCTCACCCGAATAGGCGTGGATTGTCGGTGGTTCAATCAGAGCATGAAGAACAGAACTCTGAATAGCTATTCTGTTCTGGTTGAATGGATCCCAACTAGTAGCTGTATGTGTGCCGTCCGAGTGTCTGGCTCATTCAAAGCTTCGAAAAAGCTAATAGGTGTCTGTTTGTCATCATCATTATCATAATTACACAAGCTAGCTACAGGTGGAAAACATCTAAGCTATTTTGCCGCAATACAAAATAAAATAAGAAACGGAAGCACACCAGCTGTCACCGGTAACGGATGGACATCGTTCCGGAGAACTAACAGCCGGCTATTGTGCCGCAAAAAAGTCATATTATGCCTAATAATTGAGATCGTGGTTGGAGAGGGAGGAACAAAGAATATATATATATATATATATATATATATATATATATATATATATATATAGTTTGCGTGCCTCAGAGATCCATTAGGCTATGCTGGGTGGTGCATTTTTGTACCTTCAGAGCCACTCATAGCAGATGTCACAGTGATTAGAGACCAGACAAAATCCCTTCAACTCGGGTGGTGGAATGAAGGTAGCTCCTCATTCCTTAAAGCAGACTGCTTGCAGCCCACTGTCAAACCCACTGCCTTGCGGTGACGTTTTTGAACCAAAGGTTTTGGTTGAGAACCCTAATCGTCCTTCTAACGAGGCCTGGGCAACCTGACAGTATCATGCCCACGCAGTACTGTAACAATTTTCTGATGCTCTGGCCACCGCAGAGGATAATCAACGGTGCCCTATCTGCTGCATGGAGCAGGGCGTAAACGGGTTTACATACGATTGCTCAAGCCTTCCCGTCTTCTTACTCCCGCTTTATGCTTTTTCACTCTTATCTTCCCGTTCCAGCTCCACTTTTATTCCCTTCGGTCTTCAACCCCATTCTTGTTCCTCCCTCACCGTGCTTTAATAGGCGTTTATCTTCTAGTTTCAACTCACATGCAAACGCGGAGTGTCACTCTTGCCCTGTCGACAAACCCATGTTTAACCAAGCGGTCAAGCCCATTTCCTCGGTTTCTATTTGGAGCCGCCGATCCTTTCTCAGATTGACATGCCGCATGGTACGCACATTAGTACAGATCGATAAACAGGCAGCATTTGTCCGAATATTAAAGACCGTCTCGACCGATATATGCTGGCTATCGGAAACCCGCGTACAAGATCCGAGCATTGTTCTCACTCTCCAATCCCCTTCAGGTGGCACTAGCAGTGCACTCTCACTACGCCTGTCCGGAGACGGTACAGCTTCGAGTACCGGCAAAGGCGGTGACGGTATTGCTCTGAGTCCCCAGGCAGAAAATACTTTGGTTGATGGGATCCCAATCAGTAGCCGGATGTGTGCGGTCCGATTGGCTGGCTCGTTCAAACCTTGGAAATCTCGCAGGACTAATAGGTGTCTATTCATCATCGCTGCCTACACCCCAACTGTAGCGGATTCGATAAAAGACGACTTGTACAGCCAACTGAACGAGCTCCTTCGCCACAGAAGAAATGCGGACACTAGTGATTGTTGGGGATCTGAACGCTCAAGTTGGGAAGTTGTCCACTGATGAGCTGCATCTGGGCGGCTAACATGGTGTAGTCTCCCGTAATGATAACGGCGAGCGGTTACTTCACTTGTGTGAAAATGCTCGCTTGTTTCTTGCGAGCACTAACTTCCGACGCAACACCCGTCGGCAGATGGCATGGCGCCCACCAGCCTCGAACCACCCATGGGTGCAAATCGAGCACATCGCGGCCAGTTATCGCTGGAGAGACTGCGTCCAAAACTGGCACTCGATTTGGAACACATGTGTGGACATTGACCATGCACTTGTACGTGCTGATCTGTGGGTGCGTTTTGGCGGGCGCCCTCGACGACCCTGTGAGCGCATAGACACCAGGCAACTGGCGAAGCCAGATGTTCTGAATGCGTATCGAAGTACGCTGGCGTTCGGGTTGAGCAAGCGCTCCCTGAATACAGTTGAAGGTCACTGGTCGCATGTTCGCCAGGCGTTTCTAGAAGCAAGTAAGTCATTATGCGGTAAATCCACTAACCAAAATAGACATTGGGTCTCTTCGCTGTCTCTGCAACTTATCGATGCTCGACGGCACATTACAGCTGGAAACGAACATAACGAGATTCGGAAATACTTTGGGGCGAAACTCCGTGCTAGCCTGAAGTGACATCGCGAATGCTGGTGGTCCCTGAATGCGTCAGAGATGGAAGTGGCCGCTGCCCTTGGTAACCATCGAAAGTTGTTTCCTCTGATACGGGAACGAACAGTAGAAGTCCTGGTGTTAGTGAAAATATACATGCGTGAGTAGACAGTCTATCCACAACTTGTCAAAACGTTTGGAGCGTTGGGCTGAGCATTTTGAAAAGCAATTTAATCGGCCAGAATTGTTAGTTTCCTCACTGGCCAGTGGTCGCCCCGCTGTCTGGTCTGTCCATTTGGACCCGCTCCCTCGCTCAGAAGTCGAAAGTGAGATCGGAATGTTGAATTTGAATAAAACCGTTGGATCAGATGATCTTCATCCAGCAATTTTAAAATCCAGGGGCCCTGCTCTCGTTGATGATTTGCACGAATGACTATAGAAACTGCGGAAGCAGGAAACTGTCCCGAAAGATTGAATCTGCTCCGTTATTTCCCCGATCTTCAAAAGAGGCTCGCGTTTGGAATGCAACAATCATAGAGGAATCAGCCTGATCTTCATTGCCTCCAAATCGCTTGCACCTGTCACCCTTCACAGACTGACTAGCACTCGTGAAAGCCAGATCCATGAAGAGGAAGCCGCGTTTCGTGGAGGCGGCATCGAACACATCTTCGTTTTGAGTCAATTACTAGAGCACCCTCACATTTGTTGGCGACCCACCGTTGTCGTGTTCTCTGACATCAAAGGGGCCGGCTGTTAGCTCTCTGGAACTAAGTCCATCCGTTACTGGTGTCTCTGCCGTCCTGCTTCTGTTGCATGTATTTTGCTTGTTTTATGTATGGTAGCACAATAGCTGAGGTGTTTTCCACCTGTAGCTAATGTGTATGTATGCAATCTCAACAGTCTATTAACTAGACATAGAGCCAGCATAAAACCATGGAGATCAGCAGATAAGCAAGATTCATCGCGTCATAACCATCGTAGCATGCTAGTTGAAGGTGAGCAACACACTTCAACTAATATGCCGCGATGAAGAATGGAACATTTTGATAAAAGGTAGAACAAAACAATTTTAGTTTGTTTTTCACACGCCGCATTTGCTCTTTTTTGTCATTTTAATCTTTGTAGTACTAAACATGTGAATCAATACAATAATGTACACAATTCTTCCACTGATTCCGGTTGCGGGCCATATCTCCAAGAGTGCTAAGTCATTGGCACTCCTCATCTTTTGGTCCCCATCCTGGAAGACGTACGGATCCAACAGCGGATAGACACGACGTCAGCCATTTCATGTGCTGTCGCCAAGTGGAAGGCTGACCACCACGCGGTCGCCTCCAGCCAGGTCCTTGACGAGCGAATAGTGCGCGACGCGGTAGACGCTCAGGTGCCATGCGTAGGACGTGACCGAGCCATCTCAACTGGCACAACAAAATCAGTTTGTTGAAGGGAATACTCGCATTCCCCAAGATGCGACGTCGAACGTCATTAATATTTACTCGATGTTGCCACCAAACACGAGCGATCCTCCTTAAGCAACCGTTATCGAACGCAGAAAGACGACGCATGTCTTCCACGCGAATCGGCCAGGACTCGCACCCATACAATAATACTGAGCGAAATGATGCGCTGTAAACGCGGCCCTTTAGTGAGAATGAGACGACGCGACGACGCCACGAATGCCTCAGATTGACAAATGCTGATCGAGCTTTAGCGATACGAAGAGAAACTTCTTTGCTGATAGTGCCGTCAGCGGAAACACAGCTCCCAAGGTAGACGAAACTATCTACCTGTTCAAGTTGTGCACCTTCGAGAGTGAGCACGGGAGCAGGTGAAAGCCAATCCTTGAGCAGTGCTTTACACTTCGATGGCGCAAAGCTCATGCCATATTTAGATGATTCAACCGCCAAACGATCCAGAATGAGTTGCATACTCTGAGGATCGTCACCAAGTAAAGCGATATCATCAGCATAATCAAAGTCGGTCGCGCGCTCACCCGGTAGAAGCTCTAAGCCAAAATGTTGGAACCTTCTAGAGCATACGACAGAACGTCTTCGATTGCGAAGCTGAAGAGGAATAGGGACATAGGGCAGCCCTGTCGCACACCGCTATTGACAGCGAATTGCGAGGAAAGCTTGCCATAGACCCTCACTCTGCCGCAGGTATGAAGGTAAAGTGCTCGTAAGATGGCGGTATATTTCTCTGGCACCCCGTTCTTTAGTAAGCAACGCCATAAAGCCGGTCGATCAACGGAGTCAAAAGCGGCACGTGTGTTTAGAAATGCAATGATAGTGGGCCTGTGATAAATGTGGCGATGTTCGAGGAGCTGGTGGAGCGTGAATATTTGATCCACGCATCCGCTGCCAGGACGGAAACCAGCTTGTCCTTCACGGTAGTATGATTCACGTACTGGGGATAGCCTGCGAAGCAGAATGGATGCCAATAGCTTAGAAACAACCGAAATAAGACTCATCCCGCGATAATTTGCACATGAAGTGCGAGCGCCTTTCTTGAAAATCGGGACAATAACTGATTCTCCCCAAGTGGAAGGCACTTTCTCTTCATGCCAAATTTTTGCGAACAGCGCGGTCAGCTGGTTAACGATCGCCACACCGCCGTACTTGAATAGTTCCGGAGGAAGTCCATCTAAGCCGGCAGCCTTGAAGTGCTTCAAGCGTCGAATCTCAAGGCCGACTTCCGCTTCGCTGGGTGGATTCAGAGGGATGAGCCAGGGTGGACAACAACGTGTACTGCATGTACTGATGGATGGTGGAGGCCAGTTGAACTGCGAGTGAAAGTGCTCGGCCCAACGGTCCATACGCCTCTGTTAGTTGGTGATCGGAGACTCATCCACCTCACAAATGACCTCACTGACACCAGGCTTCCTGAGGCCAGTGGACCGAATGAGTTGGAAAAGCCTGCGAGTGTTGCCAGAGAGGGCAGCGGTCTCCATCTCTAAAGCACGCTCAGACCACCATGTCTCGCGATCCTTGCGTAGGCTTTGCTTGAGCAGCCGGTTCGCAGAACGGCGCCGCTCGTTGCAATCTGATTCCGCCGGGATATCTTTGCGGTGTTCGAACAGCTCCAGAGAACGAGCAGAGATCCAAGCCTTCAAGGAGCGTCGCGTTAGGCCGCAGCATGACTGTCCGGAAATGGTCATTGCCTTCCGTATACAAGTCCAGTGTTGTTCCACTTCTTGCGGTGGATTGCAACTGAGTGCATATGTCTGGACAGAGGAATCAGTTAATCTGTTTACATCAATCTTGCGGTGCTTCGTGTTTCGGGATCCTCCAAAACACATACAGATTTTCGCGCAGACCAGAGCATGATCTGAGTCAACGAAAGTGGACCTAAAGAACCTGCAGTCCAGTACGCTGACGCGCCATCTGAAGCTAATTGCAATGTGATCAATTTGAGACCACGGTTGTGTTGAAAAAGGGGGACGCCACGTGTCGGAACGCTTCTTCGTACGCCCGAAGTTTGTGCTCGAAAGAAACAGACGGTTGTCTTCGCACAATATGAGAAGTCTCCCTCCGTTATCAGAGCGGTTCTCATCGAGCGAGTGATGACCACCAAGGTGGCGTTCGTATGGTAACAGGCGGCCAACCCGTGCATTAAAATCCCCAGCAAGGATAACGATATCCGACTTTTCAGCATTAGTCAAGAGCTGTTGTAGATCCCGATAGAATTCGTCCTTGACCGAGTCACCACTGCAGTCAGTTGGAGCGTACACAGAGATCACAAACAAGTTGTCTCTCTTCGCGGTGCCTGTTGATTCTACATGAACCCCGAAGCCGAACTGCACATAGTCGGCTGTTAATAGGGAACCAGTCCAGTAGTGCCGCCTCGGCCTTGTCACTTAGTGCTATACCTACACCAGCCAGACCCGCTGACGCTGCTTCTGGATCTCCAGAAAGACGCAGGTGATATCTGGCTTCGTGGTCAGTGGGGGATGTCAATGTAAGCACAGTGCTGGGATCTTGCAATCGGGTTTCTGAAAGACAGCAGACATCAATGTCTAGGGAATCTAGGGTGCGCGCTAGACCGGCTTGCTGTCCAATCTGCATGAGTGTCCGAACGTTGAAGCACGCCAGACGGAACGAGGATCGGGGACGAAGGAGAGTCATAGGTTGAACTTCTTGGTCTGCGGCGCAACCGGAATCGCAGCCAGATTGTTGAGCACATGAATCGGGTAACGGAAAGTGAGGATTGTTAACAAACAAACAATTGGCGTGTGGTGAAGTCGCGTGAAAGTGACTAGCAGAAACAGCAGCTGATGAGCAAGTTGTAATACGGCCCATGGTTTTGCGAGAGGGCGTGATACTACCCGGTTGCCCAAGCCGAAGTAGGGAGTTGACTTAGGGGACTCCACCCCGAGCCTTTGTCTAAATAACCTAACCGCAAGGCAGCGGGACGAATTTAGGGAATCGCGCCCAGTGGGAGGCATTGACTGAGTGTTCAGTTCATGTGCCTTTGTTTGGTAGCTTACCAAACAGGGGCCCAATACTCCCCATGAAGTCAGCACACCTGCTGGAGTACAATGTACCCCCGAGGTGGAACATTGTCGCCGAACACTTTGCTGGAACGGCGTACACCCGAACCACCCAGCTGGCACCACGAGGAGGTAGTTCGGCAAGCCAGCTAACGTGTATAATGTCGGCCGGTGGCCGAGTGGTCTGCACGTTTGGTTTGCAACCATAAGGTCACCGGTTCGAATTCGCGTAGGGATGGGCGTCCTCGTGGTATACTCAGTCTGCGCGAGACTGGTGGTGTTCGCGCGGCAGCGAAGCGCCATTACAGCGTACTACTGACACATTATTATTAGTAACGTGTATAATAATACAATGAGAATATCTAAGAGGCGAAAAGTGCGCATGCCAATATTCTTTAGGTAACCCCACACTTCAACTTTACACAACCATGAATCATCAGTGGCAATATGCGCTCACCAAACTTGACGGCATTCTCATTGGTTTCCGTTCGCTTCTCCATCCAAACAGAGAGAAACCATAATGCAAGCGCAAACGGTGCACTTGTGGACCGTGCTATCCTTCACTTTCATCTTCTCCATCTTTGCATTTTTCGGTGCGTTCGCAGCCAAATTGCACCAAGAAAAGTTGTACGAGAAGAAAACACAACCAAACACGAGGCCCATGCAGCTGCGGTGATGTTTGATGTGTATTCCCTCATAATGTACCCATCTGTTTTTGTTCGATCTAACAGGACCAGCGATGAATAAACACTGGTGAGTTTTACCGCCACAAATCGGGAATGTCAACAGCAGATAGTTAGTATTCAGTTCTCAGTGCAATAACGGCATGAATGTGTAGCGGGGAAAATCTCCAAAGAAACACAACGGAGATACATCGATAGGAATGTGTAGACTTGGGGAAGATTTCTCTATACTGATATAATGTGCGCCGTGGGTCCATAACTCAGTACAGATCTTACAAAACGTAGCAAGTGACACAGTATGGTCTTGACTACAGCGAGTTCCAAGTGTCCCTGGAGCATAACGCATAAAGCTTGGACGATCGAATAAGCAATGTTGAGGAATATTTGCTGGAGCAGGGGCTGTTAAACCCAAACCGTTTGCGCAACCGATCGGTTAAATCAGGGAATCTCAGATACTGATACTCTGCTTTGTCGGGTGAGAACGCGACTGGCCGTTGGATACTAAATACTGGATAATAGCAGCAAAAAGAGATATCTCTGTGTAGGTACATCTAAAATACCTAAGTACAATGACCAGTTGTGTTGCCTAACATGCCAGCAGTGTTTGCCCAGGAATTTCTAGCATTCCGACACCAGCCTTGTCTCCACGTGTGGCGGCACGTTGTCTCCTATAGGTGCACTACGCTTCGTTGGAATAACCATGACCCGGGCAGGAAGGTGTGGTGGATCCCGAATAATAAACAGCAATGGAAAGCGAATAAAAATGGCAAAAAAGCATCAACAATACGGCGGTACGCAGTACCGAAACTTCGCTACTTCGCAACCAACACGAGTCGCATGTAGACTAAGGAGACTGCGAGGGTCGAACGGAATGGACTATTCCGGAGCACTCCAACCACGGAGACGGCATGCACAAACCTGACCAAGTCCTTCAGCCACATTCATCATGTCTCTATGCCACGTCATGGACTGGCCACCTGGCTGTTTCACCCAAGTTGCCGCAGCGACGGCGTATAATGCACGTCGAGGAAGCCGATCAATGGGCATACACAGAGAACACAACCAAAGCAACGTAAGCCAATAAGATTTAGCGCATGCAAGTGTAGCACCAGAAGGCTTCTTGCCAAAATGCAACTGGCGGACTTCAGAATTGCTCACTCGGTGTTCCCCCACCAGACGTGAGCAATACTTCGCAAGCACTAATGGTTAGACACGGCCAAGTGTTTAATGTCTTCAACGCGAACTGACCAGGTCCCTGGTCCATACAGTAACACTCGTCTTATCATATGGTATGGTGGCATTCGTATCCGGATTTGCCTGTCACTGTGGCCTCCAAGGGGAAAGCCACAGGGCGTCCGTGCCTACAAAGGGGACCATGGGTGGCTTGCGCTGCACCACACACAGTTCCACCCACACAAGTCTACCTTTCAGTGACAGGTTGATATTCCGCCATTTCCAAGGATGGTTGAGTCGCTGGAAAGCCACACGAATCTTGCTGATACTCGAAGTAACTTTATCAGTGATGTGAGCACCAGAGGCAAGTGAACCGATCCACGACTTGGGCGATAGCTAGAGCCGGCGGTGACATACCGGTCCAGTCGTGCAGCAGTAATGCGCACATTGAAGGCGCAAATCACATACCGAAGCGTGCAACACCCCGTACCAGTATGACCAGTAGTGTTTGAATAGCCACTGCGTCAGACACCCAAGGAGAGCTATGTCGTCCGTAAATTTAAGGTCACCTGGAAGAGCTTACACTCCCGAAATGTCTGAAAGAACCGAGTCATTCGTGATTATTTCGATCACAAAGTTGCGCAGGAAGATATAGGTGCGGAAAACCAAGCTGATCCGAAATCCAGAGCAAGGGTAAATTTGTAACTGGAGGGAAGCGACAAACGTAAAGAAATTGTGATGACCTCCACAAACGTGTAGTTTAAGTAGGTGGAGAAGCACACTTTGGTTCGCTTAGTCGATACAAAACCAGAAAGAAGAGCCAAAGAACACAGCGAACTCGATTCTCCCATTGAGCAACGAAGAGGAGAACAACCGAGTGTGTAGCGTGAAAAGTCAGTTTATGGGGAGACGATTCAGTAAAATCAGATATGCCATCAAAAGAGAAAAATGGAAATGAGTACTGTACAGACAAGCTATAAACATAATGTTCTAAGAAATCCTCACGATGAAAACGTCAAGCGGGCACAGTGATAAGCCGCGTAACCAAATCATTCGTGCGTCCAGCTAGGCCACGGACATCATCCAACAAGCCGGCCTGCGCCAAAGCGGTGTCGAAAAGATGCTGGAGGAGTGCGGCGGCTAGTTCTTCGTTTGGTTCCGATGCGCCCGGCACAAGTCGAGATAAATATCGCACAAGTTGGTGGTCTGGATTCAGTTCCAACACCGGTTCCATCACACGGAAGCGCTCCTCTGCCGAGCGATCAGCCAGTGTGGTGCGGAGAAAGTGACGCACTGCGCCTGCCTCCCGAATGGTAACCAAACAAGGGTGAGTGGTGAGACGTTGAGTGACCTGAAACAAAATAGGTGTGTAAGGTTCAAAGGGAACCAAATACCGATCCCTCGCAGTGGCTTCCAAATCAGATAGTGAATCATACACCCGGCAAAGCACTAGACGGCCGTTTCGTGTCAGTAGTGCGCACTCGTCGGATCCATCAGGATGACATTGGTGTGGCTGTTTCGAAATGAACTACACAACTTAGCCCACAGTAAGCATTGCATCTTGGAGGTTTCAATGATGGGAGTAGGTAAACTATGATCTACAGCACTTTGTTCATCATTCAAAGACTTCCAGTTCCAAGACGCTCAGTTCATTAATCAGTGGTCGCGACTGCAGTAATACGTACGCTAACAGATGGGTTATAACGTGCAGCATATCAAAAGGCTCACTGAAACTAAGATTTTGGTATTCTCAACCGGAGTGCATGCAATCAACCTGTGGAGTTTGAATTCTCACCGAAAATCACCATTTACGAAAGCCAAATTATTAACTCCGAGCTCTCCGATAAAAAAATAATTATATTCAAGTGAGCGAATTCAAAAATTTAGTTGTCCCAGCCGGAGAAATCAGTTTGATCGTCTCGCATATAAGTCACATGAAACAGATGGGGCGGATGTGTTTAATCTGAGAACCAGCATACTGTCAGTTATTCAGTAATATGCTATAAAATCCGTGCTGATGAACTTGTGACAAATACAGTGCAGATAATGGCAATGAACGACACACGACGAAGCGGACGTGTCTTGTGAGAAAACGCGAATAAACGGTACTTATCCGTAGTGAAAACGGCTAACAGGCAGACGAATGATTGCTTCATTCATGTGGCCCAGAATCCACGGGAATAGATAGCAAGAGATAATAACGTATATGTAACTGGTGGTGACAGTACCTTGACATTTTTCACCTTCTCTCCAAGAGACGTCTTCGCCCAATTCACGAGACGTGTGGCCTCTTCTTCTGTGAGACAGTTGGGGCGCTGTGGGCCCACACTGTCCGTATCTGATGCGTCTTCCGCAACCATGTTCTCAATGGAACGCAACTGCTTTCGATCGAACTGTGTCAGGTTCATCAGCACTAGTTCGTCGTACGGCTCGTACAAAAACAAAACCTGAACAGGGTGGGGTTAGAAGGATGCGTACGTGTAGAGTCAACGGAAAACAGACGAGAGCAGCGTCCATTTAAAGCCGGAAGTAACGAAAACAATAATATCTCAGATCGTTTAATGGAAGTCATCGTGACTGCTTACTGTAAACAATGTAACCCGAGAAAGATGGTCAGCGGGAACACGGAGGACATGACTTAGTTAACGTAAGAGATTCACATTCGACAGGCAGTCTAATGCTATCCTGGAAGGGTTACGTTCAAATACCAATGGAAGGATAGATATCAATTGTGTTCCAACCAGACGTGAGCATTACACTCTGCAGGCAACGTCGATCTAAGGTGATCCGTTCCGCAATGTCCTCAGTGCTATTTGTGTGGCTACTTGTTTCTTATTTATTCAGTAACACTGGCCTTATCACAGCAATGCAAACTCCGCGCTTGGTCCATAAACTCTTATGCCGTCGTTTTCACAAAAAAGCAAGACATTGAAAGGGGATGCCGGCTTAACTAGTTCGATCGGTAATCTCGTCAGCGATGTGATCACCAGAAGCGATGCAAACAGCAACATAAGGGAACCGATTGAAAAATGCAGACGGGTGCTCATTTAAGAACACCCATGGATAAATAAGATGGGCTAAAGGAAAATGTTGCAAAATATAGGTTTATCGCAACAACAGTGCATCGAGTACATACTCGGTGAGAGAACCAAACAATGCATTGCGGCATGCAGTGATTCGTTGCTATTAATGTTCGTTCAATGGGTGCACCGGAGAGAGGGAAATAGCTGAAATAACTCACCTCTGTTTGCGGTGATTTCTTTTTAACAGCCTCAAAATAAGGGGAAGTTTCTGCCATTTGGCGACTAGGAGCTGAAAGGAAGTAGATATTTCGTTCTCCAGCGGTCATGCGACTCGCGTACTCGTCCAAAGATGTTGTCTGTCCGACAGGCAGAGCACTTGTCTCCCAACGCAACAACTTGGCGATTTCCTCACGTGTCCCTTGTTCGGTCTCGGTTATCAGGCCCTCTTTCAAGTAGAGACCGAAATCTTTGAGAAACTGATCGAACTGGGATGCGTTCCTAGAGGCCTGTTGCTGGAAGAGTTAAGAACGACCAATAAGCATCATCCATTATAAAGAAAATCATTAAAAGCGAAGGTAAAAAGATGTTTACCGAAAAGTAGCGTAAAATACGCGTTGTCAACAAGTTTTTGATGCGGCTGATCAAGGCACTATCTTGAAGTAGTTCACGGCTCAGATTCAGTGGAATATCCTCACTGTCCACCACGCCTTTGAGAAAACGGAGCCATTTTGGAAGCACAGCATCGGTTCGGTTCATGATGAGTACCTGCAGCAAGACGAGATACATCAAGCCGTGGAAGTATACCGTGGAAATGTTGAGTGGTTGCTTAGAGTATCAGTGAATGCGAAGAGCTCGCGGTCCCAAATGATGGACTAGGGTGTCGAGTTAGATACAACCCAATAAGTCGACACAGATGGAGATAGGTGGATACCCTTGTCGATCAACTCAAAAAGAGCAAGCGGTCAACGCGGTGGAAGCGACATTAAGTTAAAAAAAAGGAAGATTGACGCAATGCCGGTAACCCTGGAGTGAAAGGTGTACCAACTGAAGTGCGAAAGGTTGGATAGTGAGCGAATTCATTCATGGCAACCTGTCGTATTCGAATGGAAAGAATGAGATATAAAAGTGAGGCATTACTTATGAATGGAAGGATTTTGGTGAGTATTTTTGTTCGTCGCAATCAGCCGACAATTCAGATATGTCGACCAGCTATCCGGAAAAGCACCAGACGGCCGTTTCGCCCTATTGGGGCTCATCAGTGGTGCGCATCCTTCGGTCCTCTACGGACGATCGAACCCATGACTGCTAGTGGCTCTTGCCAACTAGCCCGCAGCTTATGCAACTGCGCCATGGAGGACGGTATCCAACTATCATGAATTGTTAGCTGAATGCGATATAGCCCGACGCATCCTCCACTGCCATGCAGATGACAGCGGTCGGCCTTCCGGCGTCAGGACTTCCCGGTTCCGGCAGCTATGAATCGACATAGCATTTTGTGGAATCCGTAATACCAATTCGCCCGTACGGATTCCACACAATGCTATGTCGATTCATAGCTGCCGTAACCGGGAAGTCCTGACGCCGGAAGGCCGACCGCTGTCCACTGCATGGCAGATGCCTGCATGGCAGTGAAGGATGCGTCGGGCTATATCGCATTCAGCTAACAATTCATGATGGTTGGATACCGTCCTCCATGGCGCAGTTGCATAAGCTGCGGGCTAGTTGGCAAGAGCCACTAGCAGTCATGGGTTCGATCGTCCGTAGAGGACCGAAGGATGCGCACCACTGATGAGCCCCAATAGGGCGAAACGGCCGTCTGGTGCTTTTCCGGATAGCTGGTCGACATATCTGAATTGTCGGCTGATTGCGACGAACAAAAGTGAGGCAGTTTGTCGGGTGATAAAAAACGGTCATGGAATGAAGCACAGGACAAATAATTCTGGAGCCAAACCAATTATCATTTTTATCGCGGGGGATCACTAAAGTGTCCGGAGGATTCATAGCGTATCACCACTAATGGCTAGGACAATTGTTTATGGAATTTTACTGATTCCTTCCAACAACTCATATGCCAGATGGTCTGACCACCACTGACCAGTTTCAATAAAGCGAAACGGCCGTCTGGTGCTTCTTCGGACTGGTAATCTGGCTTGTGTACTGCTGGGATAAATCAGCAAAATTGCACCAACTCACCAACCGGAAAAATGGAATTGAAGATAACAAAGATGGTACAGATAGTTCATAATCTAAAATGGCCTCTAAACAACTCCATGCGCTGAGGAAATGGTTACTTACTGTTCGTTAAGCTAAATGTGTTGACGAGCCTATTGCCGCGCTGCAAAAGGAGCCCTATTAATCTCTGAGTTGGTACGAATTATTGTGAAAAAAACGACAGGATTGTGTGTGTGTGTGTGTGTGTGTATGGGGGCACCTACCTTTCGAGAGTACAGAGCAACGCCAGTGTCCGCATCACGAGCAATATCGAATAAGCTCGGTTTCAGACTTGGCACATAGAGCAATACGCGGAGATTGATCGGTGCGTCGGTTTTGTACATAAAGACGTATCGAAAGGAGTCGTATGTGTTCCCGCTGAGGTACTGATAGAATGCACGATGTTCCTCGTCATCAATCTACAAAGTAACAGCAGAGAGAGAGTACGAAGTAAAGGTGTGTAGTTTGAGGCACTGGTAGCTGAGGTTGCGCGTTCAGACAACCGATAAACGTTGATGGATGGCCAGTCCATAAACCATGTAAAAATCATCAGCATACTCTGAAAGCGCGCGTACACACATGCACGTTATCCCCCAGCGGATTGGCCAGAAAAACCGCTCTGTCACGTTCACAGTTCATGTCGTAGTCAAAGGGAAAGGGCAATGACCATGTAGAGATCCACAGCCGCAACACCAATGTAAAAGTCGAATTTCTTAACATGCTAGCATTACACCAATATGTTACGTTGATACATTTGATGCCAATCAATCGAAAACCGTGGTACTTTGCCAGGGATAGTGTAGATGCGCCTAAACTCATGCAGGGACAGTAACACGAAACCAGAGCCGCTGTGTCAATAGTACGGTATGTGTAAAAAAAGCTTTGACAGGACGTAAGACAAAAACGGCGTTCTAAAAAAACCCAAGAAATATGTCAGTTCCAACGATAAACTGGTAGTCACCAACCAGAATAGAGAGCAGCCGAAGTTTCCGGACAATCCGGAGTTCGCGCACGGCAGAGGCCATCGGCAGTACTTAATGATTCACAACAAGTCGTTTCCAAATAAAAGCGCTTTGCGTTCATGCCGTGAATGGATTTGATATCTGAATCATTTAACCACTCGTAGGCTATGTCCTACTAACATAACTGGAGTTCAGTGATGCAGAGACCGTGTCCAGTTACAACATGGGAGGAAGGTCTTAAGTGGCCATCGAAAACCTATGGCCTTATGGCGAGGTTCATCGATAAATCGGGCAGGGTGTCGGTTAGTAGAAACCATATAAAACAGGGAATTTGCTGGGGAACACAGTAAAATAGTACCGCCGTATTTTTATAAACGGTAGACATTTTAGAACTGAATTTGGCTTATGACAGAGAGAAAAGACCACTTCGCTCGTATCGTGAATAATTCAGCAGTGTGATCTTACGATAACACTACACAACACAAAAACCTCAGGTGTACAATGTGAGGAGCAAGCGCTGATTGATCGACATAAACGCACGAGTACTCTATGATGAGGTTGCGAATGACAAACGAGGAACGTAGAACATATCGTTCAGTAATACCAAGCTACGCATGGGTCGCAGACAACGAAGATAGAAAATACCGCACAGCTGAAACACATTGAGTGAGAGGCCAAGAAGGCAGATCGAAGAGAAGCGATCCGCGAGGAAAAAGCGTTCGCAGACTAAAAGAGATACTGATCTCCCAAAATCCAGAACAAAAATTTAGTGGATAATTTACGAAAGGACAAATGAGCTAAAAGGTACCTTTCCTTCTGAAACTGCACCTACTGTGCTAGAGAGGTACACCACCAGGACCAGTAACTCATTCGGTACCAATCCTCGTATAAACAGCAGCTTGACCAGAGCAAAAAACAATCAAGGAACGAAAGAAGTTTAATTTCCTGCTTCGGATGGATTAGTCCCTCTTACTAACTCAGTGTCCTTATTCCGACCTAGTTGCACGTTTCCGAACTAATAAAACGCTCTTGGTGAATTACATCGTTACATTCTTTTCAAATGCATGCACCTTATGTCTCAAGGTCATTTCTTCATCAGTACTGTTACGATTAGCAGTTTCCGCCCGCTGCCCACACGGTGTAAACTTAGCCGCGAGTTCGATGTTGCGCAATATTCTACCTTTCTACGCACAATGACCGGGATTGTAGTACACAATCCTCTCTGCCCAAACCGTTTCCTGTCCAGACCAAAAGTATAGTCTAGGTTCATAACTCGAAATATTGGCATTAAGTATATTTCGTGTAATGTACTTAAATTTAGCGTAGTTACAAGAACCACCATGTGGAAACTCACTCTGGATGGATCTTTCATCCATGTCGGTGAAACAGTGTTGATACGTCGTCCATTTAGGAAAATGGGAGCACCGACAAAGTTGCTGTATTTGCGCAGCACCCGTTCCAATGTGTCCTCTCTTGCGAACTCCGAGGCCGACTCTTTTAGATGGATAACAATTTTCGTGCCAGGCGCAACATTTGTAGCTTCGCTTATTTGGTATTCGCCGTCATGACCAGTGGACGACCAATGGTGGCCGATTTCACCGGAGGAGTCCTTGGACTGGCTTCGTGAGAAGACATCAACCTAGGAACCGCGAAAAATAGGCGTCTGAAAGGAGGCTGCTACGACGAAAGTATATGATGAGGGGGAACAAGAGAAGTAGGAAAGAGGAGCCCTGGTGGAAAACCTAAACGTCCTAACCCCAGGGTTCAGAATAGACCAGAATGTATTGCAGTGGTTATGGTTGTCTGCGAGCGATGGGGTACTACTCCCAAAGAGCCTAAACCTAAGAGGGGTTAATATCCAAAGTTTTTACTCTACCTGAGAAGTGAAACCGAGTGTGAGATCGGCGTTGTTGTCAAATAGAGGTGATGCAAAGGTTCATAAATACGTAGCGGCATTCTGATATTGCAAACAGCGAGATGCTAGGAGATAGCTCAAGCTGTACAGATGATGCGTCGGCGGTCCGACCTTAAGGCAAGTGGGACACAATTCTAACGCGATAAGTAAACACGAAAGGGGGGAACAGCATGGAATGGCGTTAAGTTCTGTTAAAGCCGTTAAAAACTGCAATCAGCCAATACAACTGCTTAAGTGGACTACCCAGTTAGGCTGATGGGAAATCACGAAAAGCAAGAGACGAAAGTTAATGGATTTATCCTGAATAAAAGGTGAATGGACAAGGAAAAATAAACGCGTAACGCTGGGCCCATGTGCACATACATACATACGTAGCTTTATCCCGTGGTCCCAATAACACACGTTCATGCAGGTGGCGTCAAGTCGACTTTCGAATTCGGCTAACGTAGAACCGAAGATGACAGGATGCGGAAGTAGGATCAACGGTTGGGATACATGGATTTAGTAGACGTTTCAGTGGCATCCCAGCCAACTATACTGTGTGGCCAACTTTAAATGGTGGCTTCTCATTGAGAGATCGTGTCTGAGTTTCCATAAGTGTCGGAATGGGTGTGTTCAGAAGGCTTGAGAAACTGATGCACCGATATGAGATCACCATGCAGATGACCAGACAATCCACTGGAAAAAACTCCTATGGACTTGTCCAAATTGGTAAGGGAGGTGGAGCAAGCCCATCTGGCTTTTTGTTATCATCCGTAGCGGATTCGCGAGAGTTGCGAGGTCGTTTTTGTCAAGTGTGTCACACCTGGATGCCATATTCTAACTGTGATCTCAGGTAGGCTTTGAGCATTTTGGAAAAGGAGGTATAAGATCTCTTAGGCGCACTGTTCACTGGGCTTTGCAATTATGTCGCAAACGTTTCGTCACTAGTCGAGGTGAAATCATCAGTGCGTTAGTATGTAGCAAAGCGGAGAGATGTGTAAAGGAAGCTGAGCAGAGTAATCGCGTGAGTGCGTTTCTATAGGTTATCGCCATTGGTCGTTTAGACGGGCGACCATTAAAAATGACCTCTTCGACTCATGATTTATGACCATGGGCCTGTTCAAATCCACTTACACTTCGTCACACACTAACGCAATGATGGTGTCATCTCGAGTGATGAAGAAAAACTGCAATAAAACGTCCAAGCACAGCGAGCAGCTCGCCGAACAAATGAACTTGCTACATCACCTTCAATTTCGAATATTGATTTCAACAGGCCAAGATCCTTCCACAGGAGTCACAAGTGAGGCTTGCTTTTCCACTGCTTTTTCGGCCATTTTAAAACATCTGAGGATCTCATGCCCGAGAGGGAAATCGGACAACTTTGAGGAACGCCACTTGTTGTCGGAAGACTATCCGATCCTGAGGCAACCTGTGTATTCGAATATAGAGCACGTAAAATGTCTAGATATTTCGTGGGAACAACTTTCTGCACAAGTAGTTCGAACAGAATGCATCGATCTACTGAATCAAACGCACTTATGAAGTCGAAAAACGCAGCCATTGTCGGTCTGCAGTATATGTGGTGCTGCTCTAACACCTGCCGCAGAGTGAATATGTTGTCTATACAGTCACGTCCTCGCCGGAAACCTGTCTGCTCTTCCCTATTCCGTGATTCTCGTTCCGCAGTGAGGCGATAAACAAGAATTGAGGCCAGCAATTTCGTCACCACCGGCGTTAGGCTAATATCCCTGTGGTTAGCATAGTCGGTGCGACTGCCCATATTGTACATCGCCACTATAGTCGATTCACTCCAGTTAGCTGGGATGGTCTCTGAGTTCCAGACCTACTTGAACAGGGAGATCAGTGCTTCGCAGACCACACTTCCATCCTTAAGTAGTGCGGGTGCGAGCGAATCTGAGCCAGCAGCAGGAAAATGAGTAAGGGCTGCGATCGTGTTTCGGACCTCAGCCTCCAACAGTCTAAACGAACTGGCCATGGTTCAACCTGCAACATCTGAGTAGGAAAAGGTCCAGAAGCAGGGGGCTAAGTGAACTTCTCTCGGACGTGCTCTGTCCAACGAGCCATACGGCGCTTCTTATTGTGAGTCAGTGCACCTGCACTGTCTCTGATTGTTTCACTGACGCGGTGGTGTGCGTCAGCTAGAAGAGCTTTTAGGAATTGCCTACTGCTCGAGCCTCCCCCATTTCTTGAGCCTGACTGGTCCACCAAGCATCTTTGTCAGTATGCAGGCTCCACTTTCGTTCGCGCCTAATAGTCCGTCTGGTCACATTGTACTCAGAGTCAGCCGGGAGTTTTCTTCTTGGTTCCAACAGGTTCACCAGCCTTTCGGATATCCAGTGACTACTGCAGTGACGCCTGATAGTGCCACAAACAGACGCTCCTGCGTCGTGCATGGCAACCAAGATCCTATTCTATTGAAACCCAGTATCATTAGGAAAAGCGAGCGAAAGTTTGACACGCAGGGCATCCTGGCAGGCTTGCCTGACCGAGGGCTGAGATTACTTCTCAGATAGGCGCTTCTTTGAAGCGGGAAGAGTGAGCGCCAAGTGTGTGCGCACTGCAGCACGGTCTGAATTCAGACACGTGCTCCAAATTGATCGACAGTCTCCGAGTGATGTGCACTATCTGCAGCTGATGGCAATATGGGTCCAAATCATTGATGAATTCGGTGGGTGCCAGATGAGGCAATGTGAATATTTGTGCCGGAAATTAGTGCTGCTAAAGTAAAGGCTGTGGATGGCGCACAGCTGCAGAAATAGATCAGCATTGTCTGTTCGGCGTGCACAGACTCGGAAGCGGCCACCCAGGTGTTGTTCAGAGTCTGAAAGACGACGCACTTGGGCATGCATGTCACCAGCAACAATCAAGATGTGGGCATTTTTCACCATACAAAGAAACGTTGATGGTTCACAACAGAATTCGTCTTTGCTACCCACCTGGCTACTGTCAATAGGCGTATAAACGGAAGTCGAACCGCAGATATGCGGCTGTTCACTAGTATGCATTCGAATAGACAGCCTTCAGCATGTTCAATGGGGATGGTCAGCCTGCAAGTGGAAGGTAGGGTGTATAACGCCGCGGTAAGGCCGGTCTTACTGCATGGATCAGAGAGCTGGCCGGTAACGGTAAAGACATCAAACGCTTGGCCGTGTTTGACCATCGGTGCTTGCGGAGTATTGCGCATGTCTGGTGGGAATATCGAATGAGAAATGCTGAGATGCGCGAGTTAGTTTTCTGCAAGAAGCCATCTGGCTCCTCACTAGAGTATTTGCTGCATCTTAATCACTTATGTTGGCTAGTCCATGTCCTCCGTATGCCTGTTGACCGGCTTCCTCGGCGTGCATTATATGCCGTGGCTGCATCAAATTGGGTGAAACCGCAAAGCGGCCAGTCCATGACGTGGCAGAGTAGCATGAAGAAATTGGTTGAGAGACATAATCAGAGTAGACTGGAGCCTCGGAATGGTCCGCATCATTGGCTGCAGACTGTAGCAGACATGGCGCATTCACGCGGTCAGTGATTTTCCTGCATTCGGTTTCTTGCATCTGATTGTAAAGCTCGGTACCACTCTGATTAGTTTAACGCATTTCCTTTTTGCTTCCATTTTTACATTCTATTTGCCTTTAGCCCCACTATATTGCCGTTGTTATTCATTGCCATTCTTGCGATATTAGTCGTCGCAACTGGATCCACCGCACTTCCGTGATCGGATCATCGTTGCACATCTGAGGTGAAGTCAGTTACCGGTGACAACCCGAGATACTCAGTGGAGTGCATGAATACTGAGGTTTATTTCGCATCATTTGCTTGCTTGTGATTCACCGATGATACACTTGGCTTAAACAGGTACCGAATCTAGAGACACTAAAACAATCGATTAAACCCTTGAGAATGAGAAAGAATCGAACATATGCAAGACTCAGACTCTATAAATGGGCCAAGTCTGATGGAACTGTTAACCACTAACACGACAGAACTCGAAACTCGCTCGCAAGAAGCTAACACGTAATAACCAGACTCAGTGCTTTGAGCTACACAGCTGGAGCTTGGGTTAAGTAGCCTGACAGCGGCATAAGCGCAGCAGTCTTAATGGCACTAATCAGAATACGTGAATAGGTAGCGGGCTCCAAAGTAATGTAAATAAAATAATGCGTCAGCTGTACGCCGTAATGGCGCTACGTTGCCACGCGACCACCACCATTCGCGTGTGCGAAGACGCCCATCCCCACGCGGATCCGAACCTTAGAATTGCAGGAAGGCGTGCAGACCACTAAGCCACAGGCCGAGGGGCTCCCAAGTGTTGACCTGGTAAGTTTTGCTGACATGATGAGAAGAGGATACAAGATATGTCAACATAACTACCTTTCGGTAGTCATTTTAAGCTTCTTTCCAGTGTGGACACGAGTCCTCATCCCAAACAGACGAACTCAATGTGATCGAAGCCAAAAGAACGAAAGCTGCCAGAAGTTCCCCTAGAACGTGACCTAACCAATGTAAAAGGATTAAGTCCTTCAGACAACTTAGTGTATCTGGAGGTTTGTCACATGAAGAACAGATACATAGGCGGAGTTCAAGACACATAAGACTGATAATTTCTGATGCTCGGAAGTCGCAGATCAATAATTTGCTGACATGTGTGATGTGTTGTGGGCACGCGCAGGATTAATATAATCGCAGCAGCCCACTGAAGTGTTGCACACCAAATGAGTAAAATCCCGGCATGGGATTTTAGGGACAGGGCCGATACTGCTGCAAAATTAGCTCTAACAGAATAACCAGAGACGAAATTTATATGACGTCGCCATTTCATGCATTCTTATCAATTACAAACATGCAACATGCAGACAAACCAAAACGGTGTACAAGAAATCGTAGATGGCCAAGCATTTGATCATAAGGCTAATTATATCTTCCGAATTTCTTATTTTGAATTTTTGAAACAATTTGTTGTTTCAATGATGGTCTCTCGTAAGTGAGTTAGCGGTAATTTAGCTCTCCATTGCAGCAGGCTCTATAAAAAATTATTATTATTACTATTATTATTATTAAAATTAGTGACGTGCATTTGGCCCGAACACAGCCACATTACTCACGGGATTCAGAGGGATACACGCAAGTATATTGGTCAACAATAGCAAGGTACTGAATTCCTAGCATATACAGACAGGATCTTGTAGGATGAACTCAGCGCAATTAGATAAAAACAGCGTTTCCTGAAGTGTGTTGCGCGAAACCCCAACAAGTCCGCAGGATACTTTCAGGGGATCGCCGGAATTTCACCGAAATGCTCGGACATAATCATTCCATTGTATACTACGATGACACGTGGAGTGAAAATCTGGTAGCCCATCTGATGGTCTTTATTAGCCTTGTGAATGATCCACGTAAAACCAACTCCTACCAAGAAGGAAGCTGGGTTTGGCAGATTTAAAATGTGAGTGAACGAAGCGGCCAGATGTCAGAAAGGTAGTGTGGTAATCTCACCGTGATGAAATGGGTTGAGGCAGGATGGGTCGTTTTCCGTCCAAGCAAGCTCACATAGCCTGAACCTTGTCCCCCCTGGGGGAGGTGAAATATGAGTCCTGAGTTATGGTCCCTTTTTGAGATCATTACGAAAGTTGTTATTCACCGAAATCGACCAATCGTAAAAGCCTAGTAATGGGGTCCAATCAGTGACGCCCAGAAGGATGACGCGGATATTTCGAGGTTTGACGAGTGTGCCCATTTGCCGGCAAATTGAAGAGAAACTATCTTCGCGATGTTATAAAAAGGTGGCTGTTTTGTTTATTTTATAGTTCATTCAAAGTGGGACTCATGAAAGCATTTATATTTGAGGTGTGTATAGTAATGAACGTTTTCAGAACACTCCGGCCCATAGTTATTTTACGAAAGCCAAGTCCTGTGGTCCGCCGTGTGAGTTTCCAGTAAAAAGGGGATCACGGCCCAAAAAGTTAGAGACATGCACACTAGTATGTAGTGAGAAACAAGGTACGGGAGGAATATGTACGAACTTTGTCGGCCACCATGAAGGTGGCATAGAAACCAACTCCGAATTGTCCAATGATGTCTGCACTCGGGGTATGACTGCTCTGCTTGTTCAATCCGGACAAGAACTCCCGGCTCCCCGATCGAGCAATGGTACCCAGATTTTGTTCCATTTCTTCTCTGGTCATACCGATTCCATTGTCTTGCAGGATAAGCAAACGATTCTGTTCATCAGTTTTCAAGTTAATTTCGAAAGATGAATCGCTGGAGACATCTGCCGATGTGGTCTGGTGGAATCGAAGACGCTCGATGGCATCACTAGCGTTTGAGATGAGTTCACGGATAAACACCTAGGGGAAATTGAGAACCGATAAAACTGAATGAATAAGCGACTATCTCCGTTGTGAGTGAAGGGAGAAACTGAAGAAGACCAGCGGAAGTAGAATAATGAGCAGATGCTTGAAATAGTGGAACGGCTTGTAAAAAAGTCGGAATGTACCGAATGAGAATAACCTAAAAAATAATGGGTAAAGAAGTACAGGGAAAATTGATTGTGTGTGTGTGTGTGTAACTTTTAGATCAGCGTCAGGCAAAAACAATAACATAAATGGTGGAATAGTATACCGCAGTCCGAAGTAACAAGGGAAAGAAATCATGCGTAGATTAACCACGGAACCGTCGGCAAGGGATGTCGCGAAAGCGTCTCACACTATCTCCCCAGAGGCAGCAAACAAGCCATGCGCATTCACTGTCGTTTAGAATAACAAAAATGGTAACTAAATCGGAACATAGTATAGATACGAAGCGGCCATAATGTTATGAATAAAGGAGCACTGGGCGGCGACTATGGAGGTGCGGTCTAAGAAGCTAGCTAAATCACAATACAAGTTTGTTTTAATTCCTGGATAAAGATATAGACAAGAGGTATTGGATTTAATTATACTGCCATCCAGGTGCTGTTCAGAGTCTGAAAGGTGACCCAGTTGAGCGTTTATGCCAACAAGATCAATTACGATGTCAACAGAGTTCAGGAGTACCTGTGAATCTGCGGAAGAGGCTCGAAAGATAGATGAAATAGATAACAAGCAACCCACAGAGGAGAGACTGGCGACTTTCAATTAGCAGTCTGGTGATCATATGGTGTATCTACAACCGCGTTAAGTAACACGGGAAGAGAAACCTACTCTCGAGCGCGACCATAGATGTGAAAGGAGGCTAGATTGAGTTAACCAGCACCAAGCGCGTACGACAACCAATGCCAACTAGTATCAGCTGGTGCATTCGTCTGTACAACAGAGTAGAGCAGTTGTTTCACAGTGGGTGTTCGGAAGTTGGACGAGGCCGCAAGACCGTATAACATACATAGCTCGAGGGTATCACAAATGTAGGATAACGCTGCGCCTGATCACCTATTTCAACTCTAATGAAGCGGTCTAGAAGTAAACGGAAAAATTATCAATTGGATCGCTTATATTGCTAGGACTGTTTTTTTAGAAATTGGAAGGAAATCTGATACCAATGATTCCACCGAAAGCAATAATCTAATTTGTTCAAGACGCTTCCTACCTGCTCTTCCATAATCCGGGATTCCGTTCTGCAGTGAGGCAACGAACGAGAATCGAGGCCAGTAATTTTGGCACCACCGGCATGGGTATCACAGTCAATACGACTGCACTTCTTATATATCGCCACTATAACCGATTTACCCCAGATGGCTTGGAGAGTCTTTTGCCTTCAGACCTGTTCGAAGAAAGGGGTCAGTGCTTTGCCGAGGACCACAGCACCATGTTCAAATAGTGCGGGTGCGACGGAATCTGGACCAGTAGCTCGAAAACGATTGAGCTTTGAGCTGTCTCCGTTGGCTCAGGCTGCGTTACCTGAACAGAAGAGGGGGGATCAAAGAAAGTGCTCCCAAAAGTGGTCAGCCCAACGAGTCAGTCAGAGTTTCATATTGTGAATCAGAGCACCCATGCTGTCTCTGATTGTCTCACTGATGCAGCAACCTGGATCAGAAGAAAAAGCTTGCGATAATTACGAAGTGCTCTCGCTTGCTCTATTTCTCGGGCGTACTGGTCCACCAGGCTTCTGGGTCAGCAAGCAGGCGCTGCTTTAGTTTGCGCTTAACCCATCAACTGTGAATTTCATTTGAAAAGAGTGAGTGGGGCGGGAAAATGAGTTCGTGTGCTCAGTGCGGAGCACGCATGTGGTCACTTTTAATTTCCTGCCACAGGCGACATCCCGTGGAAGACGTGAACATTTTAGTTTTCTTAGTGAACAACAGATGGTTTTACTAGGTGGGTTAAAGCATGTAATTCCCAATTGGGGATCATCACAGTCAACAGGTTATTAGTCCGTCCGGTTACATTGCATACACAGGAAGCATAAGTTTTCTTCTGCATTCAAACAGATTCATTGACCTCTCGGGATTCCTGTGACTGGTGCGGTGACGGTTCATAGTGCCGCTTCGTGCAGGACATGCTGGTAAGCTGGCCTGATATAGGATTGGGATAACTTCACAGTTGCCGACCGCAAAAGGCGCGTAGTACATCTCCCGGACACATAACGAGTCGACGCAGGTCGTCTATAACAAGCGACAAACCATGATGGAACTACGTCGCCAGTAACTTATGGAAATGTGATCTATTTGGGTCCAGCGCAAGCCTTGTGCTTGGCTCGAGACTTTAAAGGACATGGCTCGCAGCCGACACCAGTGACGTGTCTGTTGCCGTCTCCTAGTCGGATTGTTTGTTTAAAGTGTGTTTGGTGCTGAGTTATCTGTGGCGTTTGCTTAGGGCACTAAGGTTTTCCGGTAAGTCCCCCTTCCCTCCCTTCTTTTTTTATTTTTTTATTCCATAGGTCATCATGGCTATATGGCAGCGAAGCATCAGTTCAAACGACTGATGTACCGCCGTTGTTGTTATAGCTAGCCAGCTAACTGGGGACGTCCAGTGACAAAGAAAACTAGGAATCAGCCAGACCGGTGACTCGAACATCGCTCCAGTTGCTTCACATGTCATCGAAATATTGACAGCATTTACTAAAAATTTGTTGATGTGTCATCTCCGTTTTCCGCACCTCAAATACTGTGGTATTATTGCCATGGCGGCACAAGTGATCGTAATATAAATAGTCAAATGAATCTTCACAAGCCAAAGATATCTGAACCTGAGACCGGCACGCATGTTCCTGATAGGAAAGAATGCCAGCGACGAAGATCTTGACAGCGTAATAAAGCGGGTCGGCAGTACAATGATACCATATGCTTATTATTCCTTAAGACGCCACTGTAGTACACTAAGAGAAGTGAGCTTATTACAAGCAAAATGATGTCTCACGTAAAGAATAGGACTAGGCACGTGTGCACTGATTGTTAGGAAGAGAATGGAGTTAAGTTCGTCAGACTTCAGCAATACACCAGGACTCTGTGCCAATAATTCGATGCTAAACGACCACTATGGGCTGCATGCGGGCTGTGACGTCGCCCGCAGTTACACGGCCTACATTATTAGTTGGAAGCAGCAAGAAGAGATATCCCTGCGTAGCTGCATCTAATTTCACTCAGGGACAAAGCCCCGTTAAGTTGGAGTACGTACGATATATTTTGTATCGGCAGTGTTTGTCAGGGAGTTTTTTAAATTTCGACATCGACTTTGCCACAACTACTTACTGCGACAGGTTGGTCCATACATTCGCCACTCTCCGTTCGAAACAGAGTTGGTGAGCGACCCGCTTTAAATCCTACTAGCAAAGGTAAGCGTCGATGGAATCGCAGGCTATGCATATCCATCCGTCGCAGTGTACTGCACGACCACAATCCATGCACTCGAAAGACATGATTCGGACTGAGTTCACTTTAGGGACTAGAGAGTGACTTCACAAAATGTGTTGTTGAAATTGTCCTAATAAACTCGTGAAGTACTGTGTCAAACACTGATTCACAGTGTGACTTTTGATAACAGAAATTTCTCGACGAGTATGCGAGTAGCACCACATGGCGTGGTTACGGACCAACACTGTGTGAATTAGGAGATGCAATGAGAACAAAGAAAATGGTGACATAAATGTGATGAACCCACTTCTTTATCCGAATAAAGTGACTTGGCGACAATATCTAATAATTTTTTCGTTTCGGCTTGAAATTTTTGTGTGGTAACAGGACCACGGGGTTCTTCAATGTCACTGAGAGATGCAGCGGGCGAAGACAGTGCGCGTATCAATACCGGTGGTGTTCGCAACTTCAAGGACGTACTCCGAGGCTCAAATTTTCCATAGACCATATTCATAAACAAACGGCGACAAAAAGGAGACCGAAAACGAGCGAGACCAGCCGGAAAAGACATAGATGGGGAGTGTAATATGCGTGCGGTTGACGTTTCTGAGGGCTCCGGTTTCCAGTACAAAGAGATCGTCACAGATCTGGGAGCTGGAATGCAAAACAAGTAACTCGTAGGCTATTGGATAAAATTAGTACAGAAAACAAGTTCAATTACAAATGGGACCGGAACAGTTTGAGATCCCCAACGTCGTTGAATCAGGAGAGTATGATGAATCGACTAGACACTGAAAGCCAAATCAATATGATCGAATTAGATCGTGGTAAACCAAGTGGTGCCCACGTGTCCTGTAGTAGCAGTCCCCGCTATATTGGACACGTAAAATAAAAAAGTTAACTATCGTTGTTACCGGAGCTCGTCCATGGTAGCCATGGAAGCCAGTTCTCTCTGTCTGATGCAGCCCGCAAGATTGGTCGTATGTCGCCTGTAGCCGATTGGTTAGCCAATGGCATTGTGTTACCTTGAAGCGGACCAATCAGAATGACCTGTATAGAAGCTCTCCAGTAAGCGCACTACTTGATCAGCCAACAAGCGAGTGTCTGCGCATCGAGTAATTGCTACAGTCAGAAACTCTCAATTAGGTCTTTTCTCTTATGACCCCATATTTTGGCTGTACATCCAGTCTTCCGGGGGCTCCGTTCAAGTTCCACCAGAAGCCCTTGTCTTCTGATTTGGAAAGGGGCTGTATGGTGACCGGAGTGGCTGCATCGGTTATCCGTACTGTCAGCGGAAACACAACAGTTTTTGGCGACAGGAGCAGAGTTATTCAAGATGTCAATCTCAGAAGAGTTGATAATCATTTCGCTTCAACAACAGCAGCAATTCGAGGCGGCACAGCTACGTATGATTGACACTTTCACTCGAACACTATCGCTCCAATCTACATTAGTCCATGATGCTGAAAAGATTTCAGTTGGTGCAATAATCAACAGTGTCAGTGAGTTTGTCTTTGACCCCGCTTCAGCACTGACTTTCGATGCATGGCTCAGAGGTTGTGAAGATATTTGCAAGTACCGCTACTTCCGCGTAAACTCGGAACTGTAGAGCGCGACAGATACATCAATTACATGTTGCCCCAGAGTGCTCAAGAGTTCATCGTTGAGGAAACAATTTTCCCGACTTACGGAGATGTTCAGCGATCAGGCACCGCTTTCCAACAATCGGTACAATTGCCTGAAGCTGTGCAAGAGGGACAACTACAGCCCCATTGCCCATGCAGCAACTGTGAAGTGAGAGCGTCAGAAATTCAAGCTGAAATCACTTTCTGAAGACCAATTTGAGTGTCAGATATTGGTATGCAACCTGCTAGATGCCAATATCCGAACCAGAATACTCGGTTTGTTGGAGCGAGACCCGAATGTCACACTGCAAGCTGTCATTGCAGAAGTCCAGAGAATCACCAATTTAAAACACGATACAGCTATGATCGAGGATAGGAAGGCGCATTCCAATGATTTCGCAGTTCAACAGATTTCGAGGAACAAGTATCCGGCCGCTGATCGCAAGACCCCTCAAAGTAAGCTACCATCAGCATGTTGTCAACGCGGAGACTGGCATTTTGTTAGCTGGTTTCTATTCAACAAGCATATCTGCCACAAATCTCGTAGACGTGGGCACAGAGAAACTCATTACAGATCCAAGCCACCCTTTAGACCGGTTCATGATGCACGAAAGAAAATCTACGGTTGTTTCGTGAAGAAAGTGAACGCCAATTTTACTGACGATGTTAGAGATCGTAGAAAGTACATCAACATCAATGGAAGATAGATGCGTTTGCAGATCGATACGGTATCAAATATTACGGTCATATCAGGAAGGCTGTGGAGAATTGTCGGGTCACCAGAAATCAAACCTACCAGTCAGCAGGCGAAAAGTGAATCAGGTGCCGAGTTGAAATCGCTTGGTCAAGTAGACTGTGAGTGTCGTAATGACTACTTTAACGCATGGGGAACGATTTTCGACACGAGCCACCAGTATTTGAATCATCTGGGTCTGAAATGGGTCGAGCGTTTCAACCTACCTGATGTTTCGATCAACCAAATTTGTGCAAATGTCCAGATACACAAGATAGTAGCTACTAAAACTGTAGCCATCTAGCGCCTACGAGGGAGATTTGCAGCAGTCTTTCGGGAAGGTCTCGGTAAGGACACCCAAGTGCAACTTAATTATTTCTTAAGCCCGATGCTGTTCTATTGTTTCGTACGAGAAGTCCTGTACCTTACGCAGCAACACCAATGCCTGACAAGGAGCTGGATCGCTTAGAAAGAGCAGGAGTTATCCATCCGGTGAACTACTCGTCTTAGGCAGCACCCCCTATGGTGATCAAAAAGCACAACAGTGAGATTCGAATATGCGTCGATTTCTCGACGGGTCTAAATACTTCATTGAACGCCCAGAAGTACTCTTTACCGCTCCTAGATGAAAGTTCGCAAAATTGAATGGTGGTAAATTTTTCGCCGGATCTCTGTTGCATACCTGCAGATCGAGGTACATGAAACTTTACGAGAATTACTCACCATCAATACGCATGGAGGCTTGTACCAGTATCACCGTCTCCTCTTTGGAGTCAAGCCTGCACCAGCTACATTTCAGCAAATCATGAACACAATGCTGACAGATGTCGATGGACCAGCCGCGTACCTGGACGACATCACTGTTGTCTGAAGCAGTGCTGATGAGTCATTCGAAAAGTTGGATCGCATTTTGGAGTGGGTTTAGGAAGATGGATTCAGACTCCGACATGAGAAGTGTATCTTCATTATGGACTCAATTACGTTTCTTGGCTTTATAATCGACAGGAGTCCATACCCAGCGAACATCGAGGCAATCAAAAAAATTCCGCCGCCCAAAGATGTTGCAACGCTAAGGTCCTTTCTATGACTCATAAGCTATTACAGCCCGTTGTTACAGCACATACATCGCTTGCGTGGTCCACTCAATGATCTGCTGATTGAGGATAAACGCTGAAACTGGTCCGAAGAATGCCAGAGTTCATTTGACGAGGTAAAAAGACTACTACGTTCCGACCTTCTGCTGACATATTACGACTCTACTTTAGAGATTGTGGAGGACGAAGAAGCCTCGAACAATGGCATTGGTGAAGCCGGCCCACAAGTTCGCAGAAGGTTCAGAGAAGACACTTGTACATGCAGCCCGGTAGCTGCCTGCCGCAGAGCAAAATTATGGCCAGAGAGGCAAAGAAGCCTTGGCGATAGTCTTGGTTGTAAGGAAATTTCACAAAATACTGTATGGAAGGAAGTTTACACTTTTTACTGACCACAAACCGTTGTCGGCAAATTTCGAATCAAAGTAGGGCATCCCTGTCCATACGGCAAACAAGTTGTAACGGTGAGCTACTATATTACTCGACTACGACTTTACGGTGAAGCACGTTTCTACACAAAATATTCATCAAGCAGATGCACTTCCCATGTTATTGGAAAGCCAGCAGCGCTAGCAAGAATAAGCTATCATTGCAGCATCTCTCAGGAGTCGAAGTGAATCAGGTGTTGTTGGAAACGCTCAGATGATACGTGATGCAACAATGCGGGATCCTGTCCTACAAGATTTCATAATACACCGTGGCCGAAGGACAACCTAGATGGGGAATTGAAAAGTCTGTCCAGGAGAAAAGACGAAATATCTATCGTCATTGGTTGTTTACTTTTGGCGGAGAGTTGTTATTCCTAGGGAGCTTGGCTAAAATATTCTACGGTAGTTTCATGGAGACTGCATTTACAGGACATGACTTAGAAGGTGTGGAGCTACTCCCAGGAGAACGACTTATTGACTTGGAGTATGCAAACGACATTGCCCTCATCTGTGACAGCTCCCAGACGTGCCAAGCCGCGCTGGACAGATTAGCACTGGCTGTCAGTCGCTTCGGGCTTTGCTTTGCACCATTGAAGTGCAAAGCGTTCCTCCAAGATTGGCAGGGACCGCCCCTGTGCTGACCCTTGGTGGGAATCAGCTAGAAGTCGTTCGGAAATGCAACCACCTGGGAAGTTGTATCAGCGCCCTTAGGATCGAAGACGAGATCACGAACCGTATAGCGAAAGCTCGAAGTGCTTTTGCTAACCCTCGCCACCTATGGCGGCGGCGCGACATTACTCTCGCCCTGAAGGTTAGAGTGTACAATGCAGCGGTACGTTCGACCTTACTGTACTCTTGCGAAACCTGGCCCCTAAGGTCGTCGGACTTGAAGAGGCTAGTTACGTTCGACCATCGGTGCCTTCGCAGTTTCGCTCACATCTGGTGGGAACACCGCGTGAGTAATGAGCGTGTTCGACGCCTTATTTACGGCCCAGGAAAAGGGAACGAACCGCTCAGCACCGTCATTTCACGCAGCAGGTTTAGATGGCTGGGCCACGTGTTGCACATGCCACCCCACCGACTCCCTCGACGTGCGTTGTTTGCTCACCGGGGATGTGAGTGGAAGAAGAGGAGAGGTGGCCAAGCGATGACTTGGTCCAGAGGAATGAAGTCTCTCACTTCGGAACTAGCCTCGGTTGGAGCTTCACGGCTCCCTGGTTGGGGTCCAAAAGACGGTGAACACGTTTGGCTGGATACAATTGCTGACATGGCAAGGAGCCGACCTCAGTGGCGTTCCTGCTGTGAGTTTCTTTGTCCTTCCCCATCCTTTTAGCCTCCCCTTCCACCTACGATCTCATTTCGTAGGGTAAAACACAATAATTTTTTTTTGCCTAGTAGCTGGCTGGAAGCTTACCGGAACGATGCCTATCCGTTGCTGGTAGCTCAGTTGGCATGCAACTGCCGTATTTACTTTTTCCCTTATGTTTTGTATGTACGTACGTACTTCCTTTATGTATTGCGCTACAATAGAGGTGTTTCAACACCTCTAGCTGACATGTATAATGATGATGATGACGGTAGTTTCATCGTGGGCACCCTGGGATTAAGAGAACGAAAATAATCGCGTAGTTATGTTTACTAGCCGAATATCGAAACGGAGCTGAAACAACTAGCGAAAACGCGCACAAAATGTATGCTTGTAACTAAAAAACACAGGAAAGCGGAGTTGTCATCTTGGCCATTGTCAACGAAACCGTGGGAGCGAGTACACGCGGATTCCTTTGGTC